TGGCGCGGGTGTCACCGCCCGGCGAGGCCGCACCGCCCGCGCTGCTCAGTCCGTGCAGCAGAACTGAGGCAGCGAGACGCGCGCTCCCGAGAGGAGCTCTGCATCCTTCCAGGGGGAAGCCAGCGCCAGGCAGCGTCAAACAGGGAACGAAACTCACGTTCTGAGCCACGCGCTGCTAGGATTCGGTGATGGTTTGGATCCCTGGTGAGAGGGATATCAGGATGGAATAAGATTCTGGGGGCTACAACACAATAAACACCGTATGTTTGGCATCTAATTATATCGGTTTAATGCATTAGGAGTTGATCTGGTGAAATACACAGGGGAAAAAAATAATAGCTGCTCTATGAGCTCTGGACAGCTATTCATCAGGTACTGCTCAGCAAGAGGCTGTTAAAGCTCCTGGTTGAGGACTTTAGATCATCGGCATTAATGACTGCAACATCCAATTAACAGAACGGATTCCAAAAGCCTATCAAAATGTTAAAAACTTGGCACATTATTCAAACAGACATCCAGGAAAACAAAAAAAATGTTTTGCGCATATGTATTTGCCAGTCAACAGATAAAACTCTTCTATGCTGCTTAATGGGAGAAGACCGTTATAGTGCTGAGTAGAGAATAATTTAAAAATATATTGCCAATATCGGCAGTACTGAAGTGGACCAAAAATAAAATCCCTTGAAGTATGTCTCAACCACAAAACACCAAACTCCCATCTCCCCTCCGACTGCATTCCTCAGTGAAATACTTGTCTTCTGTAACAGAATCATCTCTTCAACAAAACAGAGAGCTGAACAACCTTAGCCATTAAACAGTAAGTCAGTTTTGAGACTCTTAAAAGGTAGAGTGCATTTTGTGGAAAGCCAATGTCAATACTAAAAACTCATACATTCAAAGAACAAAATGGAGACAGACAATAGAACAGACAAACACAAATATGAAGACAATTAAAAGCTGGAACAGAGTGACCCAAGAGGTTGCTCAAGGTCTATTCTATTCATAAAACATAAACTCCCTGATAGTTTATAGGTCTCAGTGACAGAGGCCAAAATACCAGCTAAACAGCTTTTACAGTATGCACCATCACCCCAGATCAACATCATTTGGTCACAGTATTCATATGGAAAACCACAAAAGTCAATCATGTTCCTTTTTTCTGAAAAAAAAAGTCCTGGGACAAAGCAACTAATTAACTCAGGAAAAAAAAAATGGAGGCAGCAATGAACACAAAAACTTCCAACTTTCACAAGTCCTTCTAGAAAAAGCAATAAAGAGTAGAAAGATGGCAGATTCTAGAACACAGACCACAAAACTAAGCCTACTCTTCTGTCAGGAGAAGATGGCCACTTAGATGAGATGATTGTCACGTACAAATATTTATCAAGCTAATGAGTCCAGGACAGGGAGGGGGGCTGGTGGTGGTGGGTTTAAAAGAAGTTTTACATTATGGATAGGTTAGCCAACCGATGGGAAAATGAGAACGTGGATACTGAAACTCAGTCATAATGCAAACTACACATTTGAATTAACAAAAAATAGAAATGTAAATAAATGCTTTGTTTTGAGTTAGGATTAACAATCATGTTTTGTTCTGAAGATGGGAGGTGAATTTGATTCTTAAACAGTCAAGTTAAAACATTCAAAAATCTTAAAAAAAGATTCACTTTCTTGGATAAAGTATTTCCAAGTTACTCCTGCATTTTCCATGTGTCACAGCTCTGATTCACAGAATGGTAAGTCAAGACCGTAACACAGATTCTCATGACTACATTTGCTGATATTCAACAGTAGCCAGTATGAAAACATAAAGCCTAAACTGGTAACTAAAAATTGTAAATCAAAACCACTGTTTTGAACAGTGCCCCTTTGAACATAGCAATCAGTGCCCTTACTTTAATTTCTTATTTCATGTACATATTAGCATAAAGAGTAAAAGTTACTCCTCTTTTTCCACTGGTTCCAAAGAAGAAACCTTTATTTCACTAAATATAATGACAAGTAGAGGTAATACGTTGAAACAACTGTATTACAGCAATACCCCTGAACTACAGGCATAACCAACGCCAAAAAAACAACCCTCATACCTTAAATCACCGTTAATTGTAAGGAGTTTTATCTAGACTTACCATATAAGCAACACTACACCAAGAGCCCTGGCTGCTCTTTTGGAAATTAAGTACTGCTGTGTTACATTTGAAGGAGGACAGTTGGGGGTTTCTGTGAAAATTAGTCTCATAAAACAGGGGAATGAACTTAGTACCTCAAAAAAAGCACAGCAACAGTTTTGTTGAGATGAGCAACTGAATACATTTATACTTTTGGAACTTCTAAAAACCTGTGAAGGAACTGTCACTTACTCTGTGTGGCCCTGAAAGACATTCACAGAATGGATAGAAGGATCTCTGAAATCCCACAGACGGAAGGTTGTGTCGCGTGATGATGTCACCACAAGACGCTGGGTGGGATGTGTACAACAATGTGTTAGCTCTTGATCATGCCCTACAATCACAGATGAGAACACGTAAGGTAATGAAAATAAGAATTTTCATTTCCACATACACTTGGAATGAAATGCTGATGATTTTTTTTTTCCCCACACAGTAAAAGAGCAATAATAATAATTCTGAACTCTAATGTTACTGCTGCTGTAAAAACTTAGAACTATATTTAAAAGAAAAAACAAACCCTACTCACATCACATGATTATTAAGTAGCAATAAGCTATTGCTACTTACTATGCCATGAACACAGCAAAAGCATTTTGCAAGAACTAAAATTTGGCTACGTTCAGTCTAGTAACACCTACTTCACAGGATATATCACAAGCTCAAAAGAACACAGATCATGCTCAGAGGATTAACAAGGCTGGAATTTTAGAAACCATTACAATATTGAGCAGCAGGTCAAGGACTCAAATTGTACTCCAGAGAAACAACTTTTCCGAGTGTTTCAGTATCTAGAAGTAACCCCACATATAAAAATAAATGACTAATTTATCTTTTTGTAAGTGAACAAATACCTGTAAGAGAATGGACAAGTTCGGAAGTCTCTACATCATACAGATTTGCTGTCCTATCCCACGAAGCGGTCACAGCTTGCTTCCCCCCAACAAGCCAGTCGGCTGCTATGACCACTCCTTGATGGCTTTTGAGTGAAGTTAAGGGGCCTCTGACAGTGGGACAATCACTAGAACCATCTCCATCTGCATCAGGTTCATCTTTGTCTGAGAACTCAACTTCATCTTCTCCAGACATTTGCTATACAATGTGAAAGAAAAAAGATGTAGAATAAATGGGAAGGAATGTTTCTAAGCTACATTTTACAGTGTAAATGCTTCCCAATCCCCTTCATGTGAATGTGGATAATTTAGGACTGTAGAATCCAGCCCAATCAGGTACTCACTATCAAAAACTTAGTTAAAGGAATAATACCAGTGAGTTAAACGCAGTTTTAATAACGACTTCATTTTAAAATCTCTTCTGAACTGTCATAAGTCTTTTACATTCCGCTCACTCTATCACCCTCTAGTTTCACTACAGCACATGTATCAAGAGACTTTTCTTCCTTTCAGTTTTTAGGAGTAGGAAGCATCTAACAAGACACTGACTATTTTCATCTTTGGGAAGACAATTTACAGACATATTTTTATCCATTAGAATCAAAATCATGACATCAATATTTGTCTGCTGGTCAATACACTGTCATCACACAGTGATGATGTAAACTAGATGCAAAATAAATTCTTTTGGTAACCAGGAAGCATTGATCTCTGAACCCTATTTCACTTATACAAGACCAATGCACTTTTCTTTCATGATACTTGAATGTAAAAAAGATAACACTTGTACTGCTCTTTCAAAATGGAAATACGAAATCAAATGAACTGAAACAAGCATTTTCCATTCACAAATCTACCTCCTATTATACAGCCATCTCTTGTCCCTACTCAGCTTACTGAAAAACTCATATTTTAAACTGTGTTTTTCTTCACAATTTAAGTAAGGGTGCTTTTAAGTCAAACACATCATTTGACAGTCTACAGTAAATACCGACTAAATAAAAGCCTGGGGACAGCAATGTCAGATAGTGTGATAAGTGCTGGCAAGGGTCCATTAAAAATCATATTTAAAGACACAAATAAATACCAAATATACAAGTCTTTACCATCAGTTTTCAATTCATAGCACCTATAACTAATACAGGTGCCTCAATAAGTTCATAGAATCATAGAATGGTTTGGGTTGGAAAGGACCTTAAAAATCATTGAGTTCCAACCCCCCTGCCATGGGCAGGGACATCTCCCACTAGCCCAGGTTGCTCAAAGCCTCATCCAGCCTGGCCTCAAACACCTCCAGGGATGGGGCATCCGCAACTTCCCTGGGAAACCTGTTCCAGTGCCTCACCACCCTCACAGTAAAAAAGTTTTTCCTAATATCTAATCTAAAACTGCACTCTTTCAGCTTAAAAACGTTACCCCTCACCCTATCACTACACTCCCTTATAAAAAGTGCCTCCCCATCTTTCCTGTAGGCCCCCTTTGATCAGCTACAAGAGTGCAGCTAGTTTAAAAAGAACTTCATTATTATCTATGATTCGAATTATTACAAAAAAAATTTACTCAACAATTATTTACTTACACGTTTATTACCTTGAACAAAAAGTCAATTAATTTATTCGCAGCTGCATCTTCTATTCTGCACCATAGATCTTTGAAAACATGAAGTCTTTTTTGAAAGAAAGGCCGAAATATATCTGTTAAACTAAAACCTTAAAATCCCACCTTTTGCAATCCTGCAATCATGTAATTTAACATTCAGTCTTATCATAAAACCTGTATCTGATGAAACTGCTGTGCAATTAGTTTGGCTGCTGTAAGTTGATTGCTTACATTGCCGTCTGCAGTTGGCTGAGGTGTAGGCAACTGTACCATGTACCTCCAGATGTGAGCTGTCTGGTCTCCGGATGCTGCACAGGGTGAAGTCAGGGAGGGAGGCGGCATTGGGCAGCAGGTAGAATGAGAGAGAGAGAGAGAGAGAGAGAGAGAGCCTGACTCAGTAAGAGCATTTCCATGGACAATACAAAAAGGCTTTAACATTACATTTGACAATGCTGTCCAAGTTGCATATTTTTCTAACGGATACTATTATGACCTTTTTGGTAAGCAAGTCTCAACATCAATGGGTACTTTCCTGGCTTCAATACTGATAAGAACATAACTCATTATGCAAAATAGAAGTAGCTACCAAATTAACCATTCCTACAGTGAAAACACGCACTTAAATACTACACATCAGAACATGAATATCACTGCTGTTCTAATATATAACATTTCAAGAAGGCATTTAATAAATCAACAGATGCCATCCTTCATTTGCTATTTCTCAAAATACCGAGGTTCCTCTTCATTCAGTGATTTTTTTTTACATTAAATGTTTTTAGCATGGTTTTAATGAGAAACCCAAACGAGCACGTGTGACGCTATTCTGCTTCTGCCTTAAGCAACTCAGCTTAACTAGCACCAGTTTATAGCTCAGCAGGTACCATCTGATTTTAAGACTTCGTGTTTTGAAATAGACTTATCCATTTTCAAATAAGGAGAAACTCAAGATCCTCCTTGTTATGGACAGAACAAACATTCTCTAATACCGAGGGGTAGAGTGTTGAGAGTTCTAGATTGAGAAAAGAGTTTGTTATGAGTATGCACAGATCTGGCAAGTGTAATGTACATGAAAGCACCAGGAAAAATATCTCATCTAATAGACCAAGAAGGCTAGAAGAAAGGTCAACCTTATATAATTTCTGGTGTCAGTGTTCTGGATCAGAGAGGAAGATTTTGTATTGTAATCGGTTCTAAATCAATCAAGTGACACTGAAGAACAGGTTCCCTGAAAAATTTCAATGGAAATATTTGCAGAACCACCTTTCAGAAAAATAAAAGAACAAAAATCCAGCTATGGGCAGCTTTTGTTTGCTTGGTTTTGTTTTGTTTTTTATAAATCAGTTTATATAGCAACATTCTTTACAGTACTGAAAGACTGACTACAGTTACTATATGAAAATACAAAAATCCAAATAGCCAAACTTAAATCATTGTTAGCCCAGCTAGAAGGCATCTACTCCCTACCTTCCTTTAAAGTGGTCAACGTAGATGCAAAAAGAAGCAGCGTTTTAATTTCTAACCTCAGTAATAATTATCCTCATTTTACAACGACTTACCTAATAGCAGCAAATTGAATCCAGATCTCTTTAATCCCAAAGTTAGTGCCCTAACTGCTGGGCCACATGTATTACTACGGTATGAACCACAGTATTAACCACCTTAGACAGTTTTCAAACCTGAAGCTGCACTGATGGTGTTCTCAGTCCTGAAAACACCTTTACACTAACAGTCCTATTTTCTAGCTGTTTTTTCAGCACACTCAATATGACAATATGCTTTTCCTTTAGTTCTGGAAACATAATGTATTTCAAAAGGGTTAAGACAGAATAGAAGAGACTATTTCAGTTGGAAAAGACATACAACAATCATCTAGTCCAACTGCCTGACCACTTCAGGGCTGACCAAGTTAAAGAATGTTAATAAGGGTATTGCCCAAATGCCTCTTCAACACTGACAGGCACAGGGCATCGATCATCTTTCTAGGAAGTGTGTTCCCTGGGTCTTCTCTCACTCCCCCTGGAATAATGCTGGCTAGCTTCCAGGCAGCAGGGACCTCCCCAGACTCCCAAGACTTTTGGTAGATGAGCAAGAGGGGTCCTGCCATAACATCCGCTAGCTCCTTCAGTACTCTGGGATGCATCCCATCAGGCCCCGGAGACCTGTGAAAATTCAGCTGATGTATGATTCTAACTGGCCGTTTTGGAGCAGGTAAGCACAAATGACAACGATATGACAAACACAGATGGAGAGATCTAACTCCGATTTGTTATGCCTTCAAATATAAAAATAATGCAATCAACACAGACGCTGACAAAGCAGTAGGAAGAAGGGCTACAACCAAAAAGATGTTAGCGAATGACTCTTTCTTCATCATGACTAACATACTCAGCACATGAAAAAATTTTACATACCTGTAAGAGCCACTTGCTCAGTTGGATGAAACTTTATGGAATTTACTGTGTAAAACAATGTAAAGTTTTAAGAATTATTTCACAATGTTTTATCATTAAAAGCACTGAAACATCCAGAAGTCTTCAGTTTTAAGTCACTTTTGTAGTATAGCAATCTCTTAGGTGAGACAAAGAACCATGGTCTTTTATTTGAGTACATAAACCTATGTAGTATCAAGGAAAGCAGCTATAGTTGACTACACAACAATACAAATTTTCTAGCAAGTTACTTCCTGAATCTAGTACAAGTGTTTCTTGTTATAAAGGTGTCAGTTAAACCATGACAAAATTATAAACAAAACACATTCAGACAATCATGTGTAAGCTGACAGGAGATAATACTCTTGACTTCCATAAGGCGAATTTACATACTCATAACTATTTCCGACATAATGAAAACTTACTATATATGACCATCAGTTTTCCGATTACTGCTTAAGACTGCAAGAACAAATGCCTAAAAAACTAATGCAAATAATACAAATTAGATTTCAGTCTTGAAACCATATCTAATCAAAACACTATTGTTTTAAAATTGTCCTGTGAGAATTCTATCAGCCTACAAAGCTCTTCTTCATTTTTTTAATTCAGTGCATAAGATTCAATTACTTTTCATCACTAATCACTCCCATTTGCAAAATCCATAAGCTTCCTTTCAACAGTTCTTCAAGAAAGAACTTAAAAATAATTTCCATCCATCATACAAGTAAAATAGATGCTTATGTTGTCAGGAGAGTGTGGTGTAACAACTCTAAAAAGACACTCCTCAAATTGTTCACACTGAACTAACTCAACAGTGCACCAACTGCTGGCACCCAACACCTTTGCTCCATTTCAAATCAACTGTCTAATGTAAAAAAGTAAAGAAAAAATTTAAAATACATTATTTTTATGTAATTTACATAAATTATATGTTTTTTAGAAATTATAGTGTAATTTTTTTTACTTAGTTTACACACAACTGTTTAAATACAGGTTAGAGATTTTACTATTTTCATAGGTTTTTTTAAAATAGCAATTTAAAAAAAAAAAATCACTATCGTCATGAAAATGCAAGTGACTGGAGTTTTTAAACATGACTTTCTACAGGCTAAAGGTACCCTCTCCATGCAGCAAGCAACTCGAGATATCTGAACCAATTGAAGTGTTACCTGTTGTTTCTATGCATCTATCTACTAGTATCTTTGTGCTGTCAGAGCTAGAAGTCACGTAGCAGGGGAAAAAAAAGTAGAACTCATGGTTGAAGCAGCTGACCACTCTCTGGAGAACTTAACTGTATCTCTGTCACAAAGTTCCTGTGATGAGCTATCTGGGTTACTTAACCAAACATACCACGTCAATAACTGTGTTCTTTGTTTTCTGGGTGCATGACTCTACACTCCAGGGTGCGATCACTCAAAGCACTCAACTCTCAACAGCAAGTTAAAGCTATGGAACACCTCTCCACCTTTGGTCTATAAAACCTTATATTGTAACCTGTTATGAGAAAGAAGGGGGCTAGTCAGGTGCTTGTCAAACTGGACACCAAAAATTAAGAGTAACATCAAAAACACTTATACTGTACTGCACCTCCCCATGCAAGGAGGTGTTTCAAAACATTGTTTCTGAAATATTCATACTGGTATAGAGGACAAATGCCTATGTTGAATTAACTGCCTTCAAAACAAGATTTTAATACTACGCAGCAATTTATATATGGGATCATGTATTAAACAAAAGTGCAAATAGATAGTCACCAAGCATCTGTATCTTCTACCCCAACTATAATACAGATCCTGCAAACAGCTAACCTCCGATTATAGGAGCTTCTTTTGTGTTCTGCATATGCGTGAGACCTCAACGAGTTCTGACGTTTAACTTCCAAGTGTTGTAACTGTAAATTTCTTCATATGGACTTGTTTATTCATTTAGTATTTACAGACCTGTCTTAATACGCCTCTCTAAGAAACAATCACAGTTCAAAACACTCTCTCTATGAAGATCAATGGAACTTCACAACTGACTTGTTAATGGTGTTGGCAAACATGCAAGTGAAACCAAAATAAACATTTCTGTAGTTGTCCAAAATACATTTCCCCCTCCCAAACACACTCCATTTCCAGTTTTCACAACATGCTCATCTTACCTGATCCAACATGCCCTGCATACTTGACAAGGCACTTCCCTGTTTCTATGCTCCACAGCAAAGCAGTGTGATCTATAAAGATTAAAAAGTAGCTCTAAATATTGTTACAAATGTATAGTTTTCACTTTTAATCGATTCAACAAACAAGTTATCTCCAAATTGTAGAGCATACCACATGAAATAGATTTCAAACACAGAAAGCCCAACTCCTCTTGATTATGATTCTATGATTACCTTATACATAAAATATAAAAGCTTCCTACCATCATAACTTAATACACATCTCAAAAAAGTAAAGCTGCTGTTTCAATCTGATTAATTTGCAGTAAGTATTGAAAAGCAAATTCTACTTTTGATGTTTTTTTCTAACCTGGTTATATACTTATGTATAATGCTCCAACTGTGTATCATGAGATTCAGAAAGAACACTGAAAGCATTCAGTGGTGAAAAAGTCAGGCAAGTCACTACAAACAAGAGTTCTATGCACAAACTATTTACTACCTGCATAGAAGTCCCAAATGCATGAAGGTCACTGCAGAGGCCTATGAAAACTTACTGAAAAATGAAATCACTCCCAATGCCACTCCTTTACCCTGCCACACCCCAAAATAAATAATTAATGTAAGTACTTTAAAGTGGGGAGAACTTTAATGCTGAATAGGAGAATGGCTGCTTCCAAGTTAAATCAGGACAACAAGATGTCCCACACAAAGACAAGATGTGCCTCTCGGTGGACATGTAAATACAGTAACAGTTCAGTTTATGAAGAGGTTTCTGGTCCGTAATATTTATGTCCAGTAAGTGTATTCAGATTCTGTTCCAGTTTCAAAACTGTCACTTCAAGCTGACCAATTCTAACTGGTTATGGTTTATTTCCCTAATAGCTTTCCAAATCCACAAAAGTATAGTACTCTGTGCAAGAGACCTCTCCAAGCAAGCAGCTCCCCAACCCCTCCATTAACACCATCTGACAGACATGCTCTAAAGAGAGCGTGACCTGCATGGAAGTATTGTGGAACATGCTTTAGAAAGACCAGCAAGGATGCCTGAACCTTCTAAAGGTTAAATGCATTTAAAGGAAACTGCAATTTAAGAATTTTTCAGCTACTGAACTTCTTTAACTCGACTCTTCAGTGTGGAGCTAAGTATTCCAGTATGATTTTGATCTACATTAGCTATAGCTTAGGGACTAAACCCCATTTTTCCAAAGATTCAAGCAACACAAAACTTTACCAGCAGATGCAGTTCCCAACACCACTGGTTGAGTTTTCGCGACACTGACATCCCAAATACCATCCCTGTGGCCAACATATTCCTTTACCAGTTGACAGATTGCCCTTGATGTTGTAGTTTTAAAACTGGATACAATCTGAAATAGCAGAGACACCAACATATTTTTTTCCACATTGACCCAAGGTTAAGTAATTATCTCACAAATACAAATAGATATTAACTTTTTCATAATAATTCTTCAATGTTCTGACAGTTCACTATTGTCAAAAATTTGACATTTGATGGTAGGAAAGTGAGTTTGGATGCAAACATACCTCTTAATTGTATTTTTCTTTTTTTAATAAAACCCCTTTTTTACAGAACACAGGATAAACTATTCTGTACTACAATAGTGCAATCTCATTGGAATAATGAGCTGTACAAATGCAGCATGCACTTCCCATTCAGTTTGGGTAAAGGACTACAACAAAAACAAAACTTTCCTTTCCTATTCCCAAACAAGGATATCCAATAACTTAAAAGATGGTTCATGTTATCCAGTGTAATGTCTTTGAAAAAAATGTACTTATTACGTAATTGTAGTAAAATCCAGAAACATTCCCATTTTAAACGCTCAATGTTTTTCTCCTGCACAAAGCTAATCCAACATTAACTTGAGAGCATATGCCAGTTTTCTGTGTAATAAAGTTTTTTTTAAAAGATATGTCAAACTGATCTAAACATTTGATAAGCACATTCCCTCAAAGTCAATGATATTAGGAGAGAATAGAGAACACTCATTAAATCCAAATTGGTATGTAAGTCATACCAAATGAAAGGAAGAAAAAGTCTAGCACAAATGGTAAAACTACAAGGCACTACAGTACAGGAAGGCTGAAAACAAATCACCAAAGGAACCAAATCACAGACATGCTGCATTTTCAGATGAAATGTGAGTGCAGTATTAAAAAAAAAAAAGTTTGTCTTGCCGGAACACTTGCAGAGACAACTGAAATCAAGAGTGGTGAAAGATGACTTAAAAAGCAAAATCACTTTTAGAAATACCCTATTTTTACCCCACAAGTCTTTAAGCTCATAGCTGTTCTCTGAGAAAGACTATCTGAAAAGCCTTGTTAAAACTGAAACAAAAAGACGACTTCCATTTATCCATGCATGCAATCATGGGCAGGTATCTACGTATCTATCCAACCAGTTAAGGCAAAACCTTTAAATGCTTCACCACAAATCACATTAAGACTTATCTACAGCCTAGTAAAAGTCAGAAAATTAATTAAGTCTAGTTTTCAGATACAATAAACTAAGGTCAAAATCCCATTAGTTTTTGTTATCAAAAAAGAGGGTCTTAGGAATGTCATTAAAGCAAATTACTTCCATAAAGGTTTTTAAAAGGTAAAGAATATCTGCAAGACCATTCCAAATCCTGAGCTCGTCAGCTTTCCAATGATGAAATGATAATGCCCTATTTGAATTCCAAATTAACAGCTAATATGCATTTCAGTTTCACAGCAGAAGAAGGAACAATCACTAAGGATGCACTGAAAAGAAAATGGGTTAATGGTTAAGATTATCAGTTCAACCATACTGCAGAGCTTCATACACCTTGAATACAACCCTACAGATGCAACTTCCACACTGACTATAGTCCTTAAACTAAATGGAGTCATGTATGAGAAGTGGAATAGCAGAATTAAGTAAAGAGTTAAGGACCAATATAGCACTCAGCTCAAACTCCAAACTTGGAAGTTCTTCAGCTCTCAACCCCACATTCAAACTACACTTGCATTCTGTCT